ACCTAAGAGCGATGGCCTCCAACCCAAGAGCGATGGCCTCCAACCTGCTGCTCTGTTTCCAGGTTCCAACCTGGCAAATCTGCGTTCTGTCACGGGCGCTCGGAACTTCGCGTTCTTGGAGGGTGATGTCCTGCTGCGCCCCCAATGTCAAGGGCATATGTTTTTTCCTAATCAGTTGTGCGAGAGCCTCTTCGAGCCAGCCACCCCCGCCCTCAGGCGGGGGGAGCTTCCTTGAATTGAAGAAGCGTGAGCTATCCTGCGTCCTACATAGGAGCGTCCTGTACCTAGTAGCTTACTAGTAGTCCCTTACTTAATTAAGTAGGGAGGGGGGAGCGAGCTTTAAACATCGTTTTTTCGTTCTAACTTGTGTCAAGTCTCAAGTTCGGACCTGCTGAGGTGCCCAAAGACTGTCCGGGAGACTATTGTGTGCCTGGCACCATTCACCGTTCCTAGTAGCGTCCTTGCTCCGTTGGTAGCGATGTAGCGATGCCCTTTGTTCCTAATAGCGTCCTTGCTCCTAGTAGTAAGGCCAGGAGCCCCTAGTAGCGATGCACTTGTTCCTAGTAGCGGTGAAAAACGACAGAATGTCCGAACCGTGACATGTTCGCGCTCGCAAGTGACGTCACTGAATGGGTTCAGATCTCGCACGAGCTGGACACCGTGATGCATTTTGCTGTGAGATGCTCAGATTGGACATCTGTGGCTTCGCAAGTGGGTTTGTCAACCTTCGATGTAAATCATAGCAGCTATGGTCAAGACAGATACACGTCACTGTTCATTGCTATAGGAAACGCAGTGTTCGCTTGTGTTTTCCAGTTTTGCTTTGAACAGATTGGTCTTGACAATTATCACCGATACCACCTTCTCAGCATCACACATGTTAAAGATTAGATGATCTCACTTTGCAAGATGTTTGCTTGGAAGATTTGCCCTGCGAACTTTGTAGCAAAGCAAAGCAGGGTAGCAGTGCACTCAAGGGAGAGGAGAAATCTTTGTGTCCACCCAGATCAGAAGTGCAAAGGATTCTAAGTCCCCTCAACTTAGCTAGAATCAAGCTGAAAGCCTTGCTTAAAGCCAGTGCTCAATATTGAAAATAGTTCAGAGGCATTTGTGCTGCACACAAAAAGTGTTGTCCTTTTTCTTTTAATGGTCCAGAAGCAAGAATCCATAGCGGCCATGAGGTTGCTCGATAGAATCTATTGGCATCGTTGTGTGTGTGTGTGTGTTTTTGTTTCAAAATTCTTTGTGACCCGTTCGTCATGGCTTTTGCGTACCTCAACACTAGGCGGTACCAGGCGGTAGGCGGTGCCCATTGCAGGCCCAAACTCACGTAGATCGCTCCTTCGTGATGCCCGTGAAGTTTAGTGAGGCTCAGCAGAATGCATTCTCCTAGCCTAGGTAGTACAGTAGTGGGCGCCGTTGACTTCAACAAAATAAAGAAAGAAAGCACGTGATTGTTGACGATTTTGGAAGCATTCCGATTATTTAGTAAGCCTTCTTGAAAGCATAGCAACTTTGAAGGTTAATGTGCTCGGCACAGCGGTGCTGCTACAGGTGCGGGCTTTTATTTGTGAATCGTTTGCTCTTTTTCCACCTTCATTTCGGCTTGCCAGGCCTGTTTGGAGCTTGGTGTGCGTCGATTTCTCTATGTAAGTCTGTCCCCTCAGAGTGCAAAGAGTGCAGACATGTCCTCATACGTTGTGTGTGTACTGTTTTCCTGTTTTCCGACAAGGCACTGATGAAGTCTACGGAGAAAACGTGCCAAACCGAGAAAGATGGTACAGACATGGAGACAGATGAGCAACTGGATAAGACTAAAAGGATGAACAAGGGCGGGGTTGTATGTCCTTGCCTCCCTTGCCTTCTCTTTTTCATCTTTAAATCATCTTTAAAACGACAGAAAACATTCTTACCCGATGTTTGTTACTAGTAGCTTCTTGCTCCTAGTAAGGCCAGGAGCCCCTAGTAGCGTCCTTGTTCCTAGTAGCGTATGTTTTACACGATTCAGAAAGCTGCGTGCCCACAAGGTCGGCAGCCATCGCTTCAGTGAAACAGATCCCTTCAGACCGGGGAACCCCTACAGCGCCTCCAAGGAGCTTGCAGAGCATTTTTCCGGTCCTTGTCTTGTTAGGAGGACCAAAGAAGCTTGGGCTTCTCATGGCTTCGCTTGATTGATTTTTGGTTCCTAGATTTTAGGAAAATATAAATGAGTTTTGTGCTCAGTTCTTATCAGCTTCGTTGAACGGCAGCATACATTTATTTTAGAGGGTGGACCTCTGGATATGCTGGCGGGTGCTAGAAATCAACAGTTGCCAACTTGTTGCCGATCCGCACGCAAACCACCCAAACTGCAAGCCCACTCGCAAAAGCTGCCAAAGCACGAAGGCCAAAGAGGTTACCTAGGAATGCGACAACACACAACCCCGCTCTCCGCTCTTCCAATTTAATAGGAATGGCCTCCAACTTTGAAGACTCCAGCTTGGAGAGCTATTGACAGTGCCCGGTTTGAGCACGGCACACAGTCAAGCGACCTTGATTGCTTCTCCTCCGCTTTGTCACAGCACACAATGTCACACATGGCATGCACTGCACGGCTTCGCCATGCTTCGCTTCTTGAATTTTATCTAAACAATGGAAGAAACATGAAAAAAACACGTTTTCTTTCTGTGTTTTGACCATGGGAAGGGTTCAAGGAACTCGAGCCCAATTTTACTTCTATGCAGCTGCCTTTGTACTCGTTACTAGTTGTCACTAGTAGTTATGTTTTTAAACATGTTTGCCTATAACAACACGTTACCTATTTTCCCCAGGCTTCATGGCACGAGCCCTAAAACCTAAACCCTCCAAGTCATCTACCTTGTCACCAAGGTTTTGGATTCTGAAGCCCGAAAGTATCCAGCTGCAGCTTGTCTCAGGCGGCGGCAGAGTGCTTGGTGCGTGGCTATGCTTTGCTCTCGGTTGTTGTCATTGCAATACGATACAATGAATACGTGTGTTTTCTTTACATCTTGTTCTGCACCGACAATGTGTTTTCCCGTTGCCCGTACTGAGATGGAGTCATTTGGTCGAGATCTTCCCATCGTGGCTTCACTGGCCTGCTTTTTCAGCTCTGTTTGGGAAAAGGACGCTGATCGGGCAGGTGGTGCGTCCAAACAACATCTACGGTCCTCGACAATACCCAGAAAAGCCGAGAGCTTGGTTTTTCAAAATGTGTTCTTTTTTTTCATGCTCTTTTTTAGCTCGCTCTCTTTTATTTTCTTTACTTGCTTTGGCTTGGAATGCCAAGGCTGATTCCCAAGTTCATCTATCGCCTCCAGCGGAAGCAAGAGCTGCCATTGCACGGAGGCAGAAGCCAAAAGAGTTTAGACGGCAAAGGCAGAGGAGTGTTTGGAAGGTTCTTTTCTGAAGCTACATCTAAAAAGATATGAAACAAACAAGGTAAGGGTGCCTTTTAAAGAGGCCTAATATTGAAGAGGGCCGAACAGCGTGTTTTTGTTAGTCTCTTTTTAGCTTACAGGATCCTTCTGCAATGACCGTAGAGGTCTCAAGAATCACCTGCCAGGTGGCAGAGCCAGAAGGTCTTTTTTGTTCGTCGAAGATGCAGCAGAGGCCCTAACGTTTCGAGGTTTCAATATAGAAAAAGAATGAAAAAGAACAAGGTCTGAAGGCAAAACCCCAAAAAGTTACTTCTTGGCTAAGACGCATGAATAGAAAGAAAGGAACAGCGATAATAGGTGGAAATGCGTGGAAAGGTCTAAAGACCACAAACGGGAAAGAACCACAATCGGTGAGCATTTCCACAGTACCAGATTCCTGACGGTCAGGCCTTTGACCTGGTCCTTCGGAAAGGAAGACCCGGAGAGGCACGTTGCATTCGTCCCGGAGAGTTCAACGGAAGCAAGGACGCTACTAGGGGCTCCTGGCATCGCTACTAGTAACAAGGGCCTTACTACTAGTAACAAGAAACTTCTAGGGGCTCCTGGCCTTACTACTAAGAGCAAGGAGGCTACTAGAAGGATCCAAAAGAGTTCGTAACTCCATTTTTAATAGCTTCTTGCTCCTAGTAGTACGGCCAGGAGCCCCTAGTAGCGATGCCCTTTGCTCCTAGTAGCATAAGAGTTACCCACTCTCTGAGTCCAAAAAGGAGAATTGTGTTTGGCCTTCCGTATTGTGCCGTCGTGATTCGCGCCCTTAACTCTTATACTCAGTGTTCGTTAGGTCTCCTTCGAGTCCCCTCCAGCTTCGGGTTTGAGCTTCTGGGGGTGTGCAAGAAGTCGAAATCCTTCAATTGTTTGATGGATATGGATATCCTGATGGAAGATTGCGATGTTTTGGCATCATTGGCCATGGCCTGTCTCAAGCGAGTAGGACTTCGATGGATTTTCTTGTATAAAGTTTGTCCTTGGCTTCTCTGAAAAGAAATCTCAGGACCCTGCAAATTCCAGGAACTAAAAAGGCCCTGTATCAAACAGACAGCACGCACGTGCTTTTGGAGGCCCCCGGAAAGGCAATAGTGATATGTATGTGTGTGTGTGTGATTCATATATATATATATTATAGTGATTATGTTGAAATTTTGTGGGAGGCCTACAACATTGGAGCTGGAGCTGGTAGCACCAAGTCTGTGCTGGAGGCAGGCTTGGAAGAGGTTCATGTCCAAGCCATCTAAGCCCAAAGGCAGAGATTTGCACAGGTGGCAAGGGCATTAATGGAGCATTTCGGCATCGATGCCAAACAGGCAGACCAGCACATGCAGGCTTCGCCAGCTTCGCCATGCCATGATTTGGCTTTGGGGATTTGTTGTGCGGTTAAAAGCCTCGCCCACAGGTGGTAGCTGACAGAGTGAAGAATGATGCATCATACGATGCCCCATGCTCAGCAAAAAACACATACACAGAGAGGCATGCTGAGAAGAGATAAGAGAACAATCAAAAGATGGTGGACTTGGGCTAAAATGAAAAGAAGGTGCCCAAGTCCACTTCTGTTGGAGGCCATCGCTCTTGGGTTGGAGGCCTTTGCTAGTAGGTTGGAGGCCATTGCTATGAAAAGAAGGGGCCTCTTTGCCCACTTTCTTGTTTGATTTGTCTGTCTTTTTCGATGTGATGTTTGCCTAGTTGGTGAGTAGATGCGACATTGGTGGATCGTTTAGGTACATGATGCCAAGATCCGAAACTTGGGCTGGAAGCCCCTGGTCACCTTCGAGGCAAAAATGGGTTTTAAAGTCTCGTTGAAAAAACGATGTCCTAGTAGCTTCTCGTTACTAGTAGCGTCCTTGCTCGTAGTAGTAAGGCCAGGATCCCCTAGTAGCGTTCTTGCCCCTAGGTGCAACGGAGCCAGGTGTAGTTACACGGTCAAGAGAAGTGCAATGGAAGCAGGATGGTTTGCGCCGCACAGTGGAGTGGTATCGGCGTTCGCCTGAGCCAAGCAACCTTTTCTCTTCTTGTTTTGCTCTTGTTTTTTCTTTTCAGACGAAAGATTTCAGACCTCAACGGACAGTGAAAATGTTTGTTTCTAATAGCTTCTTGTTCCTAGTACTAAGGCCAGGAGCCCCTAGTAGCGTCCTTGTTACTACTAGTAAGGCACTTGTTACTAGTAGCGATGCACTTGTTTCTAATAGCTTCCTGAAAATGCTTCTCAGTCAAAATCCTGGTCACTGGACGTCCGTGCCACTCTTGGAGCGAACAACCGACTGGGACAAGACCTCATGTCACGTTGATGTGGACAGTAGCACTGGCCTCCAACCTAAAAGCGATGGCCTCCAGCCTAGGAGGTCTACACATGAACTCGTGTCATTGCCCAGAGTGTCTTAGTTTCATTCGTTTCCTAGGTAGACGATGCATTGCTGCCGGACAATAGTGGTAGGCTGCAGAAAGCTGCACTTTGAGCAGTGGGCGTGGAAAATAGTTCTATGTTTCTTTGACTAATTTTGCACATACTGTGCTGGCTTCTTTTTCCTGAGTTCTATCATTCTGTCCTGCCTCTTCTCTCCTTATGGTTCCGGACCAAGAAAAACCTCACATGGAGGTAATGTACATCCAAAGAGAGACATGCTGGTGAAGCTTCAGCGAAACATTTGGGTAGGCAGTCCAACCATGATTGGACAGGATTTCCATAACTTGATGAGAGTAGGCAGGTTTAGGTCAAGAGGCACCAGATAAAGTCTTGCTCAAAGAGCATCTAGAAATAGTCAATCAAAGAAAGGCGAGTGCTTAGGTTGTGGGAGTCAGGAGTAATTGAGTCTACCTGTCTACCTCCTAACATGAGCCCAATATTGAGGTGTTGCTTGAGTCATTGAGAAGTGCATTTGTTCGAAGTAGGACGCGGTAGTGGCAAGCCAATAGCATAGTGTCGAGCATCCATCAGACATGAGACGCGAGCTTGCGCACAAGCCATGAGCTTTGCTGTGTTTCAGCAGTCGGCCCCAAGCTCATTGGTAGATTGCACCTTGGCGGTGATATTTGGCATTGCCAGTAGGTTGGAGGCCATCGCTTCTAGAAAAAGGCCATCGCTGGTGGGTTGGCATCAGATGATGACACCATGACACGCAGTTGGTGGTGCGCGTGCCGTTTGTTGCGAAGCCTTGGTGTCACCCAGTTTGCCGATAAGGCACATTGAAAAGAGACTGACAGGCCAAGCTTGGACTAGCTACTTAGTTTGAGGCATGATCTATTGGTTGATCACTCACCATTCCATATTCAAGTGGTGTGGCGGGCCCTCATACCGGCATTGTGCATTGCATTGCGCTTGTGTAAGTCTCTCAAAGCTCCTTCGGAATTCTTCGTGCTCTTGGTTTGGACTGTCTCAGGCAGCATTTTTGCATCCTTCACTGGCCCCGATGTCAACAACTTGGTTTGGACACTCAGAGAATTTGCGGCCCACAGAAAGAACTGAAGAACCAAAACTGCAGATAAATTTGAAAGGTGCCATAGCTTCGAGGTTGGAGGCCATTGCTATTAGGTTGGAGCCATTGCTTCTAGGTTCTTCTTTATCAAGTTGTTCTTAAACGGAGCACATGGTACATTGGTGCTTCTTTGAGGTTCTGGTTCGAGGAGATCGCTTAGAGATCTACCACTTACAGCGCCGCCAAAACAGGCTGTGAATGACAACTAGAAAAGTTTGAACCAAGGAGTCTACTTCACTAGTAGCGTCCTTGTTCCTAGTAGCGATGCCCTTTGCTCCTAGTAG